CAGTTTGTCTTCTGAGACTTTCCCCAAGAATCAAAAGTGAAAATACTGCAGGTGGGTAGTTGTAGTGTAGCTCTGTAAGCTGTACAAGAGCCAGAAATCTTAGTGAAGTAAACAGCTTTCAAAGCTATCACTGGACTAAAATCAAGGCCCAAAACCAGCAAGTTTTAGAGTCAGAAATAAGTTTGCCCATATTTGAGGGGTTTTCCACTCATCATCCTCTGTCGTTGTTTGGAGCATGTTTTGGAGTCTGCGTAAATGAAATTGTGTGTTTTGGGAGGCATGTTCGGTGGTTCAATGTCAGGTACAGCAGAAAAGGGAAGAAAAGGTGGCTAAATCTTTGCTCTTCAGTAGTTAATAGCACATTGTGATTGAACTCTCTCAATGATATGTGATTGTGCTTCAGTTCTAAATGTTTGTTGTTCTGTTTTCTGAATTTCAGCCATAATTTACATGAAGGAATTTGTAATGTGATGGGTAAAAACTCTTTCACATGGAAATGGCATCTCCTGAGAAAGTTTGAAGTTGTCACTATCCTCCATTTCCCTGCCCCTTTGCTATTTGGATTCTTTTGTGCCATTTTAATCAGGCTTTCAAGGGGAGGTTTTCAGATTAATATCTGAGTGGTTTTGTATGATTTCTTTTTTTTGTTTTCCCACAATTACACGAGAGATAGTAGAATCACAATTAATGATTTAGATTTAAATACCATTATTCTGGGGTTTTTTAAAATGTTTTTTGAGTATGTATGTATGAGTACACTGAACAGCACCATAACTGATCTAAAGATGGAATACCATCTCAAACATTGTTCTGGTTTCAAATACTTTTGAAAAACTTTTGCTGTAATCCTTCCCCAGTGATATAAAAAGTTGGCTTTGGTATATTTTGCAGGTATTCTCTTTCTTGAAATTAAGACCATTCTCCATACTTGGATTCTGTCAGATTTTAAACCTGAATATTGAACTCCTAGAAGACAAACACTAATTCTGTTAGTCTTCTCTAAAACATGTTTGAAACACATACTGAGTTTAGAACAGTTGTCATGAAAACTTGCACTGGTGATTTTTATGTCATCAAAACACTGCTTACAAACAGAAATATTGAATTAAGACTGGCAAATGCCTCATTGATACCAAACCTGTATTCTTTGTTTCCCACTGATATTTACATATTCAGTTATCAAAACCTTTCAGTTATCTTGCACTTCACTGATACAAAATTTCCATTTTCCAATATGCAGTGAGATCACTTTATTTTGTTTTCTGTCTGAACTGTCGTAGACAAGGACAGGAGCTGGTAAGAGCAGGTGAGCTCCTTTAAAGCTCTGGAAATCTCTATAGCTAAAGAAATGGGAGAGGAAAGTTGAGTCTTTCTGTACGTTTGCACATACTAATTTAGCAAATGGGCTCCCCTATAATTCACTGACTAGCGTGGTCATCTTTCATTTCATAAATTACTATGCAGTTTTGTTCACTGTGAGTATAATCTGTATTTAGTGACTGCAAGATGCTTATGCCACTTATTTCTGTTCCATCCAAGCTGACAGAAGTTATTTGATAATGCACATACTGGTATCTTAAATTGCAAAAATGTAAATTTGAAACTTGTATAATGTTCTTGTGCTTTTAAAATAAAATATCTTGTATATGTATATTTAAAAAAAAGGAAATAAAGTAACTTCTCGTAGATTATTCAGTTTTTATTTGAAGGCACTTTGGCACCTCACAGTTCATTTTACAAGAGTGTTATAGTGGTGTCTGTCAGTATAGGAAAAGAGAAAAGCTGGTAAATGGTTGGTAAACTATCTGTTTATACAGCCATGTAGGCTGTATCTTGGTTGCACTGTAAGGAATGGTAGCATGCCTTTTGTTATGTAAAGATACACTCCACTTGAAACTTGTCCTAGTGTTTTACAGATGCAAATTCCTGCAGTGTCTACATAAATTTCTACAAGAAGTTAAAAGTACAGAATTTGATATTTATATGCCCTGAAACTGATTTAGTTGGTTTTGTATCTTCTTGAAGACCTGGCTGTACTGTTTGGCAGATATTAACCTCTAGAAAGGGAAACTTTATGGTGTTGGTCTCATCTGCTGTGTGATACATAATTTTAAAAAAAGGGGTTTATTATGGACCTAAGCAAACAGTCAAGACATCTTTTACATAGATATGGCCACTACTTCTTGCTCTTTATGTTACAGGCTGCTGGTTATCATCATGTTCTTTCTGCTTTGTTGAAGCTTTGGGCACAATTTGAGTGTTAATGATGTTGCTCTTTATGCGTATTCTTAGTAAATGGTTTTTAAGAACTGAATTACTGAAAAGGTAAAAGGTAGAGGTAGATAGTTTGAAGTCTACTAACAAAAATGTTCTGAAGAAAATTAGAACAGGAATCCTGTTAATTAAGGGAAAGAAGAAAAGAAGCCACAACACTATTTCATGTGTAATAAAAATCTCAATGTAAAAATTTACATAGAGGAGTATTTTCACTATTATGTGCTTTGCATTGTGGTTGAAATGCGTTTATTTTCTAGACAACAACCTTGAATAATCTCCAATGTAAACTATTCAGATTCCTAATACAACATCTATATTGTTACTTAGATTCTTCTAGCCTATTGCTTGACCAGGTGTTCAAAGATATTTTATCAAAAATAGAAGTAGTTTCATTTCTGTGGCACAATCTCTTCTCTTTTTTTTTATCAGTATTTTCCAGGTAGGCTAAATTGGAAGGTTGATACAGGAAAAAAATGGCTAATAATGAAAATCAACTTCCTTACCTGTGTCTGAAATCTAGTTATTTCTAATCCTAGTTACATTTCTCTGAAGTTCCATTCAGTCCAGTCAAAATCGTTCATGAAAGTGAAGTTATGTAAAGGAAATTTGCATTGAAGGAGAGCAAGCTGAAATTCCAAGAGGTGATATATACATGATTTTGTGTAATGGTGAGTAAGAGATCAGGTAGAGAGTTAAACATGAGACATTACAATGGGACTTGACTTTTCTTATTGCTGTTCATGAGATCAGTGTCAAAAAAGGGGTATAGTTTGTGCTGTATAAGTACAGGTTGTCAAACAACTTAGAATCCATCAGACTTAATTTTAGGTTTTTAGGCTTTGTGCTTGAGTGAATGAGCTGCAGCAAAATGTTGTGAAGCACAAAGTGGAGACTGTAGATTTCACAATCATTTCAAGTCCTTGCTGTATTTGTGGTTAGCCTTTTTAGAAGACTGCAGAACCTTATCTCTCCTCCTCAGTTGTGCCTGAAATTTAATATTGGCCTCTTTGGGTACAAGAATTGAGATGCTCATCCCAAGGTACCAGTTCCTGCTTGAACTATGTTCATTTTAACTAAATCCTAAATGTGCTGCATGTTTATATTTCTTACTATTTTTTCTCTGTGGTCAACATAGACTAAGTGTTTTTAGTGGCAATGAGCAAGCTTTAAAGGAAGAGCATTGTACATGCAATTTCTAAAGAAACTCTCATTGTGCCTTCACCAGAAACTCTACATTACAGTGTTCACTTTCATTTTTAAATTAAGAATTTGATGAAGAAGACAGTTTTATGCATAAGTGAGTTCCTTACTCTGGAGTTTTCTGTATTGTTATAAATTTTGGGCTGGATTAGGCATTAGTAACAAATAGGATAAGAAGTGTCCCCAGAATCGTATTTGGTTCTGTATCTGAGCAGATGCCCTGGCTTAAAGGCTTGGCTCACTAATGCCATCTCCGTCTTTATGAATTACAGAGAATTAAAGATGGAGTCTGTGCTGCTGCCTGAGTTTGTTTCCTTGATCCAGTGCCTCTGATGTTAAATACTGCAGGAAACCCAAACTATCGTGACAGGTGCTATAACTGAAGCTGGATATGTAGGGTGTAGCACTTCCATGTTCTGAGGAAATCAATAAATACAAAGCAAAGAAGAAAGCATTTATTAACAAAAGTAAATTTTATCCTGATACTGTGAAACAAGCTGTTATCCTTTTATAATGTATTCCTATCGGTGGAGACTCTGAATGCCTAGACAGGATAGAAATTAACAGTCTAATGACTAAGTAATTACTGGTAATAGGCCAGATAAGGACTGTTGCCTGTGAGATGTATGCTGAAAGTAAGCTAATTTCAAAACCAATCACATTCCACTGCTGCATTTTGGGGCAGTTAGCTGAGAGATAAAGGTTAATGTGCTAAATGCTGATTAATCTTTTATGGTAAAATGTGTTTTCTTCATATGCAAGTAAATGAGCTATGTGGGGGTCAGAGAAAATTGTATAGCTGGCTACTTAACCTCTGCTCTTTGTGGCAATGTGTTACAGCTGCTGCTGGATGGCATTTTTTTTGTCTTGACAGAGATGCTGAGGCTGGATCATCAGTTCACTCTTCCTTCCAAATCTGTTTTTTCAGAACAGATTCTTGACAAACCCATTAACTAGAAAACTATCAAAAGAGTAAGCTCGCAGTTCTTATAATTCTACAAGCTTTAGTTATTGAGGTCTAGGACTGTTTTACCAAAAATAGAATAAAATTGTCTTGAGGAAGTAACTGCTATTGACTGACACAGGTGACACTTGGCATACTTATCTGAAAAAAAATACACTGCATTTAAAGAAAAATGTGTGAAATCCAATTAGTTTGCAATACATGAGTGTCTTTCTCCTTGATCTCTCAAGGAACTACAACTTTCTGCATTCATTCTTTTCCAGCCTGTATCAGCTAATTATAGAGTTGCTGGTAAGTACTTCTGGCTCTCAGAAATGGCTGAAGGAATTACACACCAGTTAAGTTTTAATCACTCACTGGGCAAAGTGATTGCAATGAAGACAAGAAGCAGGCATACAGGTAAGTGCAGTGCAAAGAGAAGAATTAGCAGTTCTTGTAGAAGGAAGTCTCAGATTATAAATCTAGTTCTTCGAAGGGGTTTTAAGATGCTTAAGTGTAGGCCTATCATGTTAGGCAGTGGAGGAATTCCAGTTGAAATTATGGTCATGGACATAGCCTGCTGGAATTACACTACAAATTATTACATTGCACAGTTTATTTACAGTATATCCTTATAGTATAATTTTTGCTTTTTCTCATGGGATACTACAATATTTATGTAAAGAAATTTTTACTGTTATTTTGCACAGTTTCAAAAGCAGGAATTGTTCTATTTAAAATATTTCAGTGATAAAACTTGTTTTACTTGATTATCCAAAGAATGCACTCACAGCAGTGACAAGTAAAATATTTCATTTGGTCTTTCCACCTCTGTTTTTTATTGGTACTTTTTTCCTGCTGACTATTAATGATCAGTTACAGTCATAGGGCATCCTGTAACTACAGGTGTTTTGGGCATTGAAGGTTTTCACTCTATGCATTGACAAAGCTCCTGAGTAGCAGGGGTGTGATGTGTGAGCTGTCAGTCTGTCTGCATTCATTGATTACAAATAACCTCTTACCTTCCCACCCCTGGATCAGTGTGGTAAGTACTTTTGAAACTAGGAGCTTTCAAACATCTAGGATCATCAGTGTTTGTTTCATAGGAAGTATGTACTTGTTTTTAAGCTTGTACTGTCACATGCTAGTTGGAAGTTTTAATATTCCCGCACAAGCTGGCAGTTTTCTTAAGCAGAGAACTCCTTTCAACTGTACCCTTTGACTTTCAGGGAAGTGGGGCAACTAGCTTTCTCTAAACTATTGGAGGGGAAGAAATGAAAAGGTACTTCAGACATTTTGGGAAAAACAAGTTAAATTCTTTTGTGGTAACTTTTATTGCCTTCACCTGATTTCACATACATGGTGCATTCTTGTAGGCTGTAATATATGTATATTTTTGTTAAAATTTCCCCTTTCCTAACTTGTACCAGCAGAATATTCATTTCAGTTTTTGTCTTCTTTTCTATAAACAATCTTTTTATCCAGTGTAATAATTTCTTTTGGGATTTCTCTGCTACGGGACTTTTATAGGTGTAATGACAAACTTCTTTGGTACCCATTCAACTAATCTTTGTTAGTACATGTAGACTCACTCTGTCTGAAGTATTTGCTTGTGCATAGTGATTATTCTGATGCATTCAGACCATGATAGAAGTCTGTAGGTAAAGGAGAGAAAGTGGGGGAAATTGCAGAAGTTTCTTGCAGTGTTGAGAATCAGGGATTTTACAAGTAAAAACACATCCCTCCAAAGAAGTATCAGCGTTTTTGGAGTTGTCACCAGTCTGTGGCTTGTTCAGTTGTTCTACTAGTTTTTCTACTTTTTTTTTTTTCCCCACCAGATAAAATCTGGTGACTGTAGGACTGTAATAGAGCAGAGCTACATTTGTGATGTCATTTCTTGGAAGATCTGCCTACCTAGCTGCAGGGATAGATTTTGTTGTAATATTAGTTTTGTCACAGTCTGTGTTTTGAACATTAATGTTGGGGTCGTTCATGCCTGAGACAGTGGAGATCTGGTTGGCTTTGCCGAGATTCTTAATGATGTTGATGTTGTATTTGGCAGTTTCCACAAAACTATTTTCTAGTAACCAACCATCTGATTCACCCTCCAGATCTCCTAGCAGAAGGACATTCTTCATGGCTGTCTGCAGGTACCGGACACCAATCAGTACAGAGAGCTGTAAGAAACAGTTAATGGTTAAACAGTTGAAATTGCAGCCTCAGTTCTATCACTCAGTCAGTGCTCTGACTTGTGTATTTACAGGCCTCATAACTGTGTGTAGAGCAGACAAACTCTTTATCCTAGCAATATGTCTAACCACTTTTCTAGTTAGTTACACTTTAAAATAAATATAGCAGGGAGAGATGGATTGATTCTCTCTTCATGCTTCAGGTAGCAATCCCCTTTGCACATAAATACCTAGAATTACTCGTGAACCTTGTAGCCTCGGAGACTGCAACTAATTGATGTAGAATGGATGATAAATTAATGGAACCATCAATCACTGGGAAAGAAAAAATTGTAATATGTTAATTTCAGTGGATTTTTTTTTCCACTGACATTGGTCAAATCAATATTTCTTCCAAGGAGGTTAATCGTTCCTGGGTAAGCCATATGTGTCAAACATGCCAAGGCATGAAAATTAAGAAGGATGGCCTATAGCAGAGGCTCAAGTGTAAGCTTAGGAAAAAGCCCCACTTTCATTGTTCTCTTAGAATCAAGATCAGCTTGTCAATATTTAAGGGAACACAGAGAGCTGCCTCACAGCTTTTCACATACGCCAGGTTATTTCTGGCACCACAACCCCTCCTAGAACTGCCTGAGGACTGTTGTGAACTACTTAAATTACAATGTTAATATTTATGTAATAAATAGAGCAATAGTAAAAAAAACTAAAACATACTAAAAATGTAAGAAAACTTTATTGGAGCCTGTGCCATTGGGGAGTCCTTTACTTGCAGATGACAACATCCAGAGAACTCTTCTTTACAGACATCAGCAGGAACACTTCAGCTTTGCAGGCGTGTAGCTTGCCTGGGATGTGATTATTTTGATTGCATAACCAGCAGCCCAGTCTACTACTAAAAGGATCATATGCCATGACTGCAAGTACTGTTTATTCTGGTGAAACTACGTAATATAAAAAGGCTTTGAGATATTAATAAAATGCTCAATTTTAATTATAAACAAAATTAATGCATTGAGCCAAAGACCTACTCATATTTTATATATTTCTTAAAACTGACTTAAAACAACACTCAGACCTTCTCACCAAATTTCCTTGCAGTTGTGTCACTGCATGTATAATCCTATATCTGGTCCCATAAATGCATCAGGGAAGGGAATATGCTGTATTCTGTTGAAAAAGCTCTATAAATTTTATACATGGTTTCTGATAGTTCTCATCCTTAACAAGATTTCCTTCTGGTCTGTGGACTTTGGAAAAGTTGTCTTTACTGAAAGAAAACCTACAACATTCCTGAAGTGCTTGTGGACTTTATACTGGATACTGAGGCACTTCTCATGTGTTACACCATCATCATTTTCCATCCTGGAGACACAGAAGACTGATTAATCTGATAGAGGCCATTTTTGTGAGACTTACCTCGAACAACCAAATAAGCAATGCTGCAATGCCAATGGACCTCATGATACCAGTGTAGTAGTCCAGCAGGGCCTCTCTGCACCCCTTCATCCAGATATTGAGCTCCTCTGTGAGGAAATCGTAGTTGTAGTGAGCACTGTTGTTTGTCAGCTGGTACTGGATGCAGGGCCGTGGCGAGCTGGGGTTGCAGCAGCTGAAGGGGACTCCGTCCACCAAGAACTTCCCATCAACGTTGCTCTTCAGACGGCTGCAACAGGACAAAGTGGGCATTACAAACCTGGTGGCAGCAGCAGGCAGTGCCTGTGGTTTTAGAAAAGGAAGTAACACAACTCTGCTGCAGTGTAGGCCTCTCCAACATAACAAAAAGAAAATGAGGATATACTTTCAACTGGAGAAGTTGTTTACTGCAGGAACACTGAATATATTTGCTGTATTTAAGTGTGGTATAGCACAGTACCTCATGTGCTTCTTCATTCTGTGCCACAAGACATGAGTTCATTGTTCAGGGAGATGTTGCCTTTTTAGGTATCTTTGTACTGAGTACTAAAGACAATTTTTGGACTTGTTTATCTTGGTGGAAATCTAATGGAAGTTATATCCCTGGAAGTCCTGTGTTTCACTACTTCTGGATTAATTTTTCAACATAATTGAACATAATTTTCAACATTCCATGAGAGGGATCCTAATTACAAGAACAACTTTGTATACCACAGGAACCACTGGAGATCATCTGCTGGCCTTTTGCCACTGTAGCCATTGCAAGGGCTGGTGCAGCACATGTTTTGAGAGTAATTCACAAGGAAGTTTCTACTTCTTGTAACTTCACTTTCTGTAACTTTAAGAAATATATTTATTGCTAAAAATACTCCTTTCGCTCTGTAAGATCAGGAGGAAAACAAGTGGTGAAATAAGAAAGATGAAGAGGAATAGGAAAAAAAAATCATTGAATGGAAAGAGATTCGCTCTGTAAGATCAGGAGGAAAACAAGTGGTGAAATAAGAATGATGGAGAGGTATAGAAAAAAAAAAAATCATTGAATGAAAGAGAACACAGTCTCAAATTAACCAAGATTTTCTGGAAGATAAATGAATCCTTGGCATCTGTTTTCTTCAGAGAAAGAGATTTTCCAGAAACTGGACAATATCTAAGAGGCTGAGAGAGACTCTCACACCTTGGAGAAGCAATCTCTAAGCATGTATCTATTTTTATGCTTGGTGGAAAAGGCTGATTTCCTGAGACAGCCCCATGGGTGAGAACCATGTTCTGATTTATCAAGTCCCTTTGTAAGGGGACTATAATACATGATAGATAATTTTCACTTAGATATACAGCATTCACTATTTGCCAATAGTAAATTTTCTACTATTTTCCAAAACATACTAATTTATTAATGTTTGCAAATAATATTTTTCTGTTCCAGTACAGCTGATCTAAATGAGAGGGAAAGAAATCGTTACAAGAAGCTCATTAGGTAAATAGAATGAGCAGAAACACTGTCGTCCAGTCTTGATCTGGAATTTGGGACCTTCAAATTAATAAATGTAACCTTCAAATAAAACATAAGCTGCTAGGAAGCTCAGTATTTGTGTCAGTGCTGTGATGGCAGAAAAATTGCTTTTATTTTATTGCTGTGAGCCCACTAAATACACCTTCTTTTTTTGTTTCTTGTCCTTTTCTTCCTCTGTTTTTAATTTGGGTTGTAGTGTTTTTGTTTTTTTTAAAGTTCGCTCAAAAACATTTTCCTCAAAGATCTCTCCAGGTAAACCAGGAAGTTCACCTGCCATTTCCCACTCCCATTAGAAATGAGATAGGCATGAATTTTTCTCCATTTTCAAGTCTAGCTTTTCATTTTGTTGCCATCATATCCTTGGTTATGGCAACAGAATGGAATCAATGCAAAAGAGTCCAATTAATCCACTGAAGATAGACTGAAGTGTGTGAGCCATGTTGTGGGCATAGGCAAAACCAAGCACTGGAAGGGGAGGGAGCCAGAGAGGCACAAACCAGAGGGCTCCAGTGTGGGAGGAGAAAAGAAAGCTCATGGAGGAGAGGAAGACTGGCACGTTGTGGCCCTCTATGTTTCAGGGTATTAAATATATTTAATGACCCCAATATAGTACAGCATTTAAGATGGTTGAAGTACAATCTCTTAAACTGGGTCTTAAGCTTTTCTTTTGATTCCAAATATCAATTTAAATACTTTCTTTTGTTCCAGGCTTGTTATAAAGAGGACAGTAGCAGTTTTCAGACTTGGGTTATATCCCTCTGCCATTGTGTTTCCTTTGCTAGTGGCAAATTTAAAAATTATTTCATTTGTGTCTTCGTACTTAATAGTATCTTGGTACTGTTAGAAGGGAAGACCTTAGTAAAAGAGTTGGTGGAGCAACACATTCACTGCTATTTGCTGTTACAATTCAAAGTTGTTACGGTATTGTAAAGCAAACATTTGCTTTTGAGCAAATAGGATTTTTACCCAACCAAAGCAATGGTAGCATTGTACTGCTGTAACCTCACATTCCTACCATTCCACTGACTGTTTCCATGCCTTGCCAAATTGTGGTGTTGGCAATAGAGCTGTAGAACAGGGTTTTGCAGGAAGGTGAAAAGTTCCTTTTTCCAAAAGGTTACATGTGAGTTCACAGTATGTCAGTTCTCCCCTGCTTTGCCGCTTGCTCTACAAACTACGGACACAGAGTACAAGTTGAAACCAAGAAATATTTGATTCCTTCTCCATCCTTTCAGAACATTACCAGTTGGACTTTACTTCCAGTGATTTAATAGCAAATGTTTCACTACCAGATTTGTGGAAGTCATGGTATAGTTTTGTTATACAGCACCAACTTGGATTCTCCCAATCAAGATAAAATTAAGCAATCTAACCGCAGCAAAAGGAATTCAGAAACTGATTTCCTCACACATATTTCACTGTCACCTTCTGCCTAAATGGGGAAAAAGCTGACAGTGTATTCTCAAAACAATGGCAGAGCACAGGTGATCCTGTAGAAGAAAACACAGCTTAATTAAGACCCTTGCTGTCTTTAATTAAGACATTACTGTTTCTGCCTCTCTCACAGAAATAAAAGGAAGTATATTTTACTTTTGACCTCACACTAAGCTACTACTCTTAAATTCCTGGGGATCATCTTTGTTGTCATGTCACTTTTCAGCATAGACCCAAGACTTGAAACAGCTCTGGGTCAGTGTTCTGTGTGACACTTTCTGGCTTCTCTCTTGAGAATGCTTGTATTGCTTTATTTCCACAGACAAGTGTCTTCTGTATGCTGGTGCCCTTGTTTGTATTCTCCTAGGTCCTGCCCTCTGGCATATTTGCAGCTTTCTATATGTGCTTTGCTATCATGGCAGTTTCAAATTGCAAATTCTGTAAAATTAAGACCTTTGGCCTCCCTTTCTCTGGCTTTATTGTCACTGATTTTTGAGTTCAACAAAATGCAGCATTTGACAAATGCCAGTCAAGCTCTTTCCATTTGTCTTTCCTGAGAATATAAAGCTACTACTGTCTTGTCAGTGAAGACCTTTTTCAGCTTTAGAAGAATTATTACAGACTGGATTATCTACTTTTGGAAGTTTTTAATCTTTACCTTCCCTGTAAGTATTACCACTCTTCTTTTTGAGCATATAATTTCACAGTCGCTACATCACGTGAAGCGCCATCACCAGAAAGAAATGGGGGATATCTGCTTTTTTATGCAGTGTATGTGATGTTTGGCAGTTTCTCACATGTGAACATACAGATTTGAACTTGGGATTGCAAAGCCTAATACCTTGAAGAAGAGGGGTCTTTCAGTGCTTAGAATTGACTGTGCAACATACTGATAGTATGTTGCACATATTACTGTTATCAGCTCACTATAAATGAAATTAAAATTTTGAGGTAGCTAATTCACCACACTGAAAAAGGAAATACATCTTTGCTTTGCATCCCTAAAGACTTAGCAAAAGACATCTTTTGACTGTGCATATATTTAGCATATTTTGTGAGTAACCTGATGATTCTACATTTTTTTTTATTAAGATACAAAGCTCCAGGGAAAAGGGCTTTCCAGTCTTAAAAGAGTTTTTCTTCTAGAGTTTTTTGTTATGACTGATAAATACTTACTCCAGAACCTCCTTGGAAGCCATATTCAGATACCGAGGAGATACCCACTGAATTTCAAACCAGTCTCTAAAGCCATTGTTTCCACAGCAACGGAATCCAATTTGTAACAAATCCACTGTTTTCTTTAAGAAACATCGCCCAGGTATGTCTGTGTCTTTATAGAACTTAATGGCATCCCTCAGTCCCAGATAGAGAGACTCTTCCAGTTCATTCCTCATGGTGTAGCACATGAGAGCACCCACCAGGATGCAGAAGGTGAAACAGAAGGTACATACGATGTATGGCAGCATTACTAGTTTCCAGCGAGAGAACTTGTTTGCATCTGAGCAGTCGTAGCAGATTTTGCCCCCCAGAAAGTTGATGATACATGCTATGACCCCTACAGAGATCAGCATGTTGGGGACAGAGTTAATGTCCCCTTTTGCCATCACTTCATTGCGCTTCTTGATCTCTATTTTCAGAAAGAGGCCAAGACTGAAGAGAATGATCCCACTCACTACAGAAACCCAGTTGAGGATCCATAAGATCTGAGCCAATTTGTCCCTCTTGGTTTTGGTGAATTTGACTTTGAGGACAGCCATAGTCAGACACGCATTAGGAAAAGAAGCGTAGGTCAAGGGAAGCTCATAAGCTGATTAGGAGCATGGATCCAAGGCATGCAGTAGAAATCTGAAGAAGAGGGAGAGAGATTACTGTCTGTTTGACCAGGTATTTATAGAGCCTACAAAAGAACTTCCTGCACAGCCTCACGCACTCTGAGTCTTGCCAAGGGAATGCCCCAGTGAAATTTATTGCTTAAATTTCGTAACAATGTGAATAACTTAAAAAAAAACCATTCTAAGGACCAACTAGAGCAATTAAAAGTTAATAGTATGAATAGAGACTCTGGATTCCTATGAATTTTTGTCAAGACCAATTTTCTGTGCAGACCTGATATCTAAAAGTAAACTGGTCTGCTGTCTTTCCTTCAGAAGACTGTGTCTTTCCCTTCTATTTGTTGCCTGCATTTTTAAAAATAATTATAGGTATTTATTACTCTTAGGTTCCTGTGTTATGGTCAGGTTTGTGTTCAAAAGTTGAATGAACAAACATATATAGAGCCTTCTTTTTGTCTTTCCTCTCCAGAAAACATGCTTGTCTTGTTCCTAATTTGGCAACTCTCATTAGAGTGATTTTGTACTGTAAAACTCTGCATTATATAATTATATAGTCATTTAATTCCACTAATACAATGGCATTTATAAACAGTAAATTGTAATCCTGTAAATCTGGGCAAATAGAGATGTATAAGCAGCATAATATTTTCTAAGTTAGTGGATGGTATTACTGAACCTGTATCAGCTAAAACAGGATGAAAAATACCTGGGGACAGACAAGCTGGACAAAAGCAGGGCTACACTGACCCAGTAAAGGATCCCCAGCTGCAGTGAAGCTTAGCATTGGGTAAGCAGATTGTTGCAGAATGCAGTTTAAAAAGGTAATGGAATCCCAGCATCTTCATGTGTTTATGTCGGAAGGAATCAGTTCAGTTTGTACAGGCAAGGAATACATTGTGTGATTCGTATTAGGATATGGCTAAATATTTTCATACACTAAGATTTTAAGGCCTGTGAGATCTAATTAATTCAAATTTCATTTACTTACTCTTGCATTTACAGAGAAAACTAATTCTTCTCAAAGCTATTCAGCTCTTTGTATCTTCTGTACAATGTAGAGAATAGTGTACAAAATGCGCAGTGTTTTTCCTTTCCAGTCTATTTCCAAAGGTATTGAGGCCAGCAGCTTTCTGAATTTAAAAACAGGGTCCTAGTTGTGATGATTGTTAAGGCTGATTATCAGTTATGGCTGAATATTGGTTGTGATCATATTGTGATAATCATATAAATGATAGACACCTTATAGAGATGTCCAGAGAATAGTAATTTATAAAATTACACTTTCTTCACACCTTTCTTCTCCAGTACTGTTCAGACTCCTTTGAAGGGATCATGCTCTGGTGGTACAGAATTAAGCCTCCCTGTGAATTCAGCTGACAGCCTGAATAAGCCTGCTAAGCCTGGAGACAGTATCTTTGATTGCTTCACCATTTAAGCAGTTCATGACTTGACCTTAAATAACTGTAAATGATGGCTGCTAATAGATTTATTTGCCCCTGATACTCAGGCCTCAGAGCTCACAACAGCGAGAATCTGTTGTGAAATTTACTGATTGCTGATACACAGCTCACATTCAATGGCCAGCACACATGAATGCATCACTCAGTGTTTGTTTCTGTGAAACATGTGTGCATATTTGAAAAATGCCTCAAAATTGTTCAGCACACAATTAGTTACAGTGTCACTGAAAACACCCTACTTGCCAAACGTATTTAATTTTAACATTTGGACAAAAGTTGTAAATAGTTCTACTCAAAATTAATCTACTCCAGAGGCAGTGTTGATTTTGAAAGATGTAGATTTGAGACTTTATCATATTCTAGCCATAAAGAAATTTGAAGTTGAGTTCCGTAAGCAGGGATACATTTAATCTCATGTAGCTGTTCCGTCTCAAATTTTCAGATGTCTGAATTTAAAAAAAAGTAAAAACTTCCATGTAAGAAAAATTCTCCTGGTAATTCCTTGTCTCCAGAAGTTCTCATAAGGTATTCTTAGCTTCCTTTGTGCATTTTTAGTATTGTTGTAGGATCAGATTTCATGGAACATTTGACATTTATCTTAGAGTGCTACCCACACCAGCAGCATACGATCTGTGATTTCATGGAGTCCTAGTGCCAGAGAAAAGGGATGGAATGGCTGTTGTTGTAGTTCAAAGGCCACTTCTTGACTGACCCTGGCTGTCACTGATATACTTGGAATTGATCTTTGGGGGACGCTGTGCTTCTCATGAAACCTTGAGTGCATTGAGTCTGGGACAGAAGAGCAAGTTATCTATTCTTGTTCCTAGCCTTCTACATGGATACTTATGTTAAGATTTTCACCTGTGCTAACAGTTTAACAGAATTTATTTCTGATAATAAGATTCTCTTCACATCATAAAGAATTTTATAAATGCATCATAACGTTATTCTTTCCCTAACTGTTTATTAAAGAATTGAATACTAATACATTTATTAGTGTAAGATCTATTGGAACACATGCACAGCTGTGTAGTATAATTTTTTGAACGCCATGAAGAAAGATTTTTCAGCTGAAAGAACTGAACTTCAGTTATGAGCTGAAAGTGTCAGTCTTGCTCTGCAACCTGTGTCTATTCTTCTCCGAGTCAAAGTTGGCAGTGGGTTACTGTAAAGCCACAAATGCTCCCAGGATTTCAGTGGAAGTAACACCTCTGTCATAGTTCTTAGAAACCTTTGCACGTGAGCCACTCCAGAATTATGAATCATATATACACAGACATACTTTCCCCAGCTATGGGACAGCAAACTGGATTTTATTCTCTAAAGGGAGAAATACTTCTGTCAACAAAACAAGACAAATAAGTGTAGAAATTTCTCCCATACTATCAATACTGTTCTCAAGCTTTCTTTGTCTAATTCAGATTTATCGAACTTTAAACACAGCTTCCATCACCATACAATTTGCTTCCAAGATGTCACCTAGCTGTTCCTTTGCTATCAAATTCCCCTAACTATATTGAACAAGACATAGCACAGCTATTTTTTAATAATATTTACCTATTAGGTACAAATTGTTCACAGAAATTTTGCTATTTTGTCATAAACAAGCCACATCTTACTGATTTTGCTAAAATCTGCTATTTTAGCTAAACATACATTGATATTTGTGACATTATAAAAGAAACCACTAACCTGCTTCAGAGGACTGAACAGGATCTTGAAACTGGTAACTTGCTGAATAGAAGGGAGAAAATACCTGAATTGGACATCCTGAGGATGACTGAAATACTGATTTCCTGATGTCTCTGTAGTTGCTCTGTCTTCACACTGACTCACCAATGGAGATGGAGAAAACCACTTCAACTCTCTTGCCTGTGCTAATCTCTCCTTCATCTCTAATCGCAGCTAAGAGATTTATTTCAAGGTTCTTATGCCACCAGATTAAATCCCACAAAAGAGGCCAATTAACTGAGTGTGAACTGGGATTTCACCAACAAAATGGTTTACAGGACTTTCTTCTACTTTTTTACCCTGCTGGAGATTTGGGCTAGTAAGCAAGAGAGCTGTTTTTCAGTACCTGCTAATGTCTTCAATAGCTCTTAACTTGTTTTTAACAATAAATATGCCTCCAAAGGAAGGAAGAATGGGAATAATGAAACTTTGTGATTCTGTGGGAAGGGAAAATCTATCTTAGGCAATTATTATTTATATCCACTATTATGTTCCTTACCCATCATTCCATATTTTGTTGCTTTGAATGAAATTTTCTGTACTCTGTGTATTGAATGTGATTGTCCAAGAAAAGAATTCAAGTAACCAAGAGCAATTGGATCAGCTGTATGATTCACAGTAGGTTCTGGTTTGGGAAGCTTTTGAGGTTCAAGAATAATCTAATAGAAACGTCTGTCCTTGTCTCTTATCTAGCCCTATTTCAAGCCAGAAGAAAAAGTGTCATGTCCTCTGGCTTTTCTGAGCCCAGCAAGTAGCAATTTGTGGGACACATGTGGCTGGTTTGAACTGGCAATGGTGGTGGCAACAAGCTGAGTCTGCAGCAGGGCTTTGTCACGTTAGAGGTGATGTCAGTACCAAAGATGAATCCCTAAGCAGGACCAGGTTTGAGCTGTAGGGTCCATATTTATAACACCCTAGCACAGCAGAGAGAGTTCAGTGGGCACACGACTGACTGCAAGAGACCCTGCACCAGGCATTGTAAGCGTGTAGAAATATTCTCAAAAGCATAAACTGTCCTCTCCTGGCTTATGATAAGCAATAAACCAGCAGCCTGATATGACTGTGATTCTAACTCTGTTCTGGCAGTGCACTGGCTCTATCCTGCCTGTGTCCCAGTGATTCAGAGCATACGTGATACATCTGGGACCTGTTGGACCTGCTGCATATAGACCACACAAATGCTTGCATATGATCAAATACACCCCAATTGCATTGAACTAATCCTGTGCACAAATCATTCATGCTTTGGGCTTGCAGCACTCGTGCAGACCACAGGAAATATTTTAGATCTGTTAAAATGTGTTGGTTTGTGTACAGATCAACTCCATGGAAGCGTATTCATTCAATAGGTATAATGTATTCCTTGGGTACAGCACAAGAACATAAATGTACACATTTTGAGCTGTTGTTCAGCTGCTATGTGATATATCAGAAATCCTGGACAAATGGCTGTAGTACTTTTCTTTGCTAAAACAAAAGTTCACTTGTGAAAATTCTACCTATCCCCAGAACTACAAACGTGCTATCCCTGAGTGTTAGAAAATGTTACTGCCTCAGTTACCTAGTAGCAGAAAACTGCATCTTCCCTGTGGCTGCTTTGCAACACAAGCCTTGTACCGCCATGCAAGCAGGAGGTGGCAGTGCTGCTGTATGAAGGCTTTTTCTACAATACAGAGCAAGAAGTTTATTTTTTTTTTTCCCCCAGTTTGCGGTAGAGATTAGAGGTCATTCACACAGCTAATGGAAGTAATGGAAGCTCAAGAATGCCCCATTGTAAGAAATTACTTAAATCCAATTGTAATGCAGTTAGAGGCCAGTGCTACCTGTATTTTTTGTTCCATCTCATACTTGGAAATGGCTTCAGCTGCAAATGTAATATCGAAAGTTGAATTATTCAGAAGTTAGTTCTGAATAATAGTTCTGTGTCATGGCAGTTGATGCACGTTCTTGCAGACCTTTGGGACACCTGAACATCATGACCACAGAATAGCATTTTGTAACTTGCAGGAGTTGTTATGTGTACATGGAGGATTGCATCTATCACCCAGAGGTATAGAAAGAGATCACACACTTTCCTGCTAACAGTGGAGATTGCTGTGCATCTGAAACAGGTAAATTTAACAAATGTTTGCCCAATTATTTAGTACCATTCATATATAAGTCCCCAGGCAAGGACAGATGTGTTATGATCACTGTAATGAAATAACTAGTTGGAAAGAGGCAACATTTAATTTTACATCTAGTTTCCAAAAATTAATATTTTATTTTTATATTTGGATGGCTTTTCATTTCACCTTGTATTTAATGCAAATGGCAACTAATGATACAAGATTTTGGAGTACTAGACTATAACTGAGGAACTTGGTAAGTCTGATGGAAGCAAGAGCTATACAACCTTTCCTTCTGAGCTGGGGCGAGTCCATATTCGGGAAGAGATTCTCTCTGATATGTGATAATGGGGAGAGGACATGAACAACAATTTGCTCTTTCTGGCTTTTGTAAAATTGTGAACCACATGGCAGACACTTGAAGAATTAAGTTATTAAACAAATAGAAGTAATTGAGTCTTTGAAAAACATTAATTTCTCAATTACTTTTTTTAACTTTTAGGAATAGTGGTATTTAGATGATTATGGTTGTTGCAAATAGAAGTAATTAAGTCTTTGAAAAACATTAATTTCTCAATTACATTTTTTAACTTTTAGGAAGGAAGGATAGTGGTATTTAGATGATTATTGTTGTTATAGTAGATAAAGATACCTATGTTAAGTCACAACATCTGAAATTCTTAAGGAATTGCAGAATTGTCAGAAGGAATGTCAAAATGTAAAGGCAAGAAGTAATGGTAATAGTCAATAATTTAAAAGGATCCGGTTTGTATATTAAAATGATACAAAGCTTATTGAAAATGAAGTAATTTACATTTTTTTACAACTACAGCCCTACGCTGTACTACAGTAGTACCAGAAGATCCACTGTACTATGTTCCATGAAAAAATGTGAATACTATAAGTGTAGCTCATCTAATTGCCTGAAGAACACCACAGATGAAACAAATCAGAAAAAGAAGTTATAAATTTTTCAGATGTGTAAAGGTTGTAACAATATGGATGCTGAAAATCAGTCTCAGGCAGAAAAGGAAATTATAGCAGACCTGCATGACTTGCCCTGCATGTGTACGGCTTGTCATTCAGGATCCTGTGCATTGCAGGAAAATCCATATCAGTACCTTTCAGGCTGGCTCTGATTTCAATCCATAGGAGCTGTACTGTCCACAATCTCTGAGTCATCCACTCATGACTCACAATGAGTCATTACAAATGGAAAACTAAGGCACAGAAATAGTGTATTCACCTTAAAATCAGACCAGCAGTCTATAGTACAGCTGAAAGTGAACACATATTTTATATTGCCTGGTAACCTAAAACTTCCATCTTGGCTGTAACTACTTTCTGAAGACTAGAATCCATTTTTACAACCTTAATCATAATGACACCATGCAGCAATCTTGCTTTTCACTTTTGTACCTTATTCACTATGGATCTTATCCTCACAAGCCAGGTATCAGGAAGCTTTTTGCAGAATGGAATTATACACATATTATGAGGCCTGGCAGCAGAATTCTCTTTACATAATGAGGTAAAATTTTCCTTTTTACATTCCATATCTCATAGCATCAATACTTCAGTGCACTATACTACCAACTGACCCTTCTTCTCCTAGCAAAGTAGGCAGGCATACACTGTCATATTTCTCCTCAAAAGACCTCCTAAATTAATCAGTACCTATTCTCAGCTTACTACAAACCTGATGTTGATGCTATTTTTCACACTCCAGACATCATTTGAACTGAACAATATTACTCAGGTCCTATTGTAAGGAATTTGAGATTCTTTTGGAAAGAAAAGACAGTTACCAAGGGGAAAAAAAAAAAAAAAGAAACTCGTGGGAGTTTTTGAAGCTGTGAGGCTGTCAAATAGACAGAAGCCAGAACCCAGACACAGTGCTTTTAGAGCTTTTCCAAGATCCCTCTGTCCCTTGAGTGGTGACTTCATGCTTATTGACACGGTGTCGAGAAATCACAATTGTGGAGAAAGCCTGAAGGAACTCAGGTGCCTTAGTGTAGAAAAGACTGGTGGTGAGAGAAGAAAATAGTGTTCAAATAATTTTACAGGTAGTTGCACAAAGGAAAGGAATAAATTTATTTGGTTATAGGATATGAGGAGAATAATGGGTGAAATAATTCTTTCAGTGAGAATAGCAAAACAGCCCCTAAGAAACTCCTTGATTTCCATCAACAAAGTACTTTTACAACAGGTTGATGAACACTGGCCAGGAGTGTTGTAGGGACAGTCGGAAAAGGGGCTGAACTAAATGTCTCAAGGTCTGTGATTTGTCATTTGCCATTAACTAGATACCTGTTTAAACATCTACAAAACTTGGTAAGAGCTTTCTCATCTTTGGCTGATACTCCCTTTGCTCCTTGACTTTTGCCAGAAATGTGAGCTTATGAAATGTTTTTATCTTTCTACTCTTCAGTGAAAGCATTGTTTCTGCCTCCATTTATATATTAATTTCAGTTAAAATTTTCAACAGTTTTTCAATTCTAGGAGTTGGTGTATGTTCACTTACTAACTAACCAAACCTGTGAATTTCCCATCTCTAAGGTCTGGTTATCCTGCTATCCATATCCTCCTCTTATTTTTATTTTTTCTTTGTTTCTCTCTCTTCTTTTTCCTGACATCTGACTCTTCAAAATTTTTTGTGGAGCTTTGTCTTCTGTAGTCAACTAAGCAGAAACATTATTCAGAACTTCTGACTCATACAGAAATAAATTAGTATTGCCAAGACCCCAAAGTCCAGGCAAGGAAGTTCCAATGGAAGTGTTTGAAACCAATGAGTCTGGACTTCGCAGGATGAGTCATCTACTGCCATACATGTTGATTTGAAGAAAATAACAGTAGAGTTCAGAAGTTCTTGCACTTTGTTAATCATGTCACCCTTCTCCATCACAGACCTATGAATATGTTTGTGTATAGGTGCAGATTTAAACATATAAATATTCCTTGAAGAAAAATTTGATCATTGCTTTCAGATAAAAACTATTGATGAAAATTCTCACTTCTCCCTTACTACACAAAAAAGAAGATTTCCAGGAAAGCAAACTTATTTTTCCATTGCTATACCTTATGAAGCCTAGGGAACCAGAAGTTGGAAGCATTCAAAAGTTGTGTGCCATGTATAGACATTCCTGGAAATTCTGATCTATTTCTTCAAATAAAAAAAGACATTAGAAGTGGGTACCCCATTAGATATGTGACTATTTTCTCATCTCTGTTCTTTATTAAACTAAAAAAATAATAAAAGCTAAAGCTATGTCTAGTTGTGCCCAGAAATAGTTTGCTGTCACTTTGGTCTTTACTGGCTTGTTTCTATCTTTTTTTGAATTCAGACTAATTCTATTTATTGCCTCATTACATGATTTAACATTTATTACATTCAATATTAAATAATTATGTGTAATATCTATAATTATTAAATATAAAATATCCATATTAATATGTAAGAATATCTTTACGTGACTGGGGATTATTTTTCATACAGTCAAACTTATAAGGAAATCATATTCACTGCCATGCACATACCAGGACAATTAAATTTTTTTGTTCACATCTTTTCATAGCAACTATGTGGTTATAATAAAGTTTGGTCTGGCAAGCCTTTTGGGATTTGGAGTAATTTCTGTAATTAATCCTCCTGCTCTCTAACTTCAGAGTTTTGGTGTGCAGCGCTTTTCTTCTTGTAGTCTACAGCCAAGTGAGACATTCAGGATTGAATTAAGACAACCCACGGTGTTGTGGTTTAACCCCAGGTAGCAACTAAGTCCCAGCAGCTGCTTGTTCACTTCCCCACCCCTGTCCCAGTGAGGAAAAAAGTGAACAGAAAGGGCAAACCTCATGGGCTGAGATACAAACTATTTAATAATTGAAACAAAATATGAAAGATATTAACAATTAGACACTACTACTAGTAATTGTAATGGAGAGAGAAATAAAACCCAAGAGAAACAAGACATGTGCAATACAATTGTTCACCACCCACTGCCTGATGCCCAGCCTGTCCCCCAGCAGCCATTGACACCTCATGGCCAATTCCTTCCCCAATACTGGGCATTATGTTCTGTGGCATGAAATATCCCTTTGGACAGTTTGGGTCAGCTGTCCTGGACATGATCCTCTCCATTCTTGAGCACCTCCTCACTGGCAGAGCACAGGAAGCTGAAAATCCTTGATTTAGAATAAGAACAACTCAAACCCAACTAAAACATCAGCCTGTTGCCAACATTACTCTCATACTAAATCCAGCAATGTACCAGTTACTATAAAGGAAATTAACTCTATCCCATCTGAAACTAAGACAGTTTGCTTTACTGATTTATTTTGCACTACCTGGGATACTTAAAAACCTCCAGAACAGAGAAGTGCCCATTTGTCGTGTTTCACAGCTGCTGACTAACAGCTGCAAAAAGAGACACATTTTTACATCGAGATAGCCAACTAGAACTAACAATGTAAGAGCTGAACAAAAGGCATAGGACAGATTTTGGCTCAGGGTAACTTTATCCAAGGGAAATCAGCACAATGCATCTGAGCTTAACTACATGTAATATCCAAAAAAAAAAGAAAAAAGAAAAAAAGAAACTAGAGTAGCTCAATTTCATATTTTTATTTACATAGAGATTTTAATGTGCTGGTAGCTTTTTTGGGTTTGGTTGTTTGGGTTTTTTTTGGTGTGTGGTAAAGATATTCTGCAAGTCTGCACTGACAGAGGAAACGCTGGTATCTGTTATACTTACCAACAACTCTGAACCTAAAATAGTAGAACAGAAAGCCTTGAAGTTTTTGGTCTATTTCTGGAGCAGTGACTTAAAAAAGATTAAATCTTTTCTTTAAGGACTTCCTTCACATAAGTGGAAACAGATTTTCCTTTTGAAAAGACTCAGTTTATTTTTTTCTCTGCTTGACTTTTATTTGAACCATCCAGGTTTTGTCTGCTTACGAAGAGCATGTGGTAATTTGGAAACTTACATCTCACTGTATTTCAAGTGATGATGAAGGAAAGGCTGTTTGGTCTTCTAGAGCTTTCAGAGTGCACAAAAGCATGTGTACCTGGTCTGAGTCCCATGATAATGTGCATGTCAGTTGTATTAGATAATGAATTGACTTGTGAAGTTGCAAAGTGATGAGAGAATCTATGCCCCCTGGATCTGAAACGACGAACAGGTAAACAGACAAACCAGATAAACAAGTTTGTTAAGGCCTTTCCATTCTCTTTATTTGAATCAGGAAATTCTCCTGAATAATTGTACACCGCAGGCACCATGTCAATTATTTGGGGAACAATAAGGTACTCTTTACAAATGGATTCATACTCGTGAGCTCCTCATTACATATAGCATGCAGCAAGTTTTGTTGGCAAAACGTATTACTTAATTAAGAGGTGGTTAAGGTATTTACCTACCCTCAGTTATAATCTGGGAGGAAAAACACTGCCTACTTTAGAATGAATGTGAAAAAATTATTTGTTTGATGCATAAGAGGAGCTGCTTATGCTAGAGTAACTGTCACCTTTGCAATACCTTTACAACAGATTTGAAGGAATATGTAGTTTAGTTGAGTATTTTCCATCTGAGAAATTGTAAGTGCCTTTTAAAGGTAAGCAAAACCCATAACTCCTTTTTGTAACCCAGGAAAAGATGCACTTTTTATACTACCTTGTGTATAAAAAAAGCAACTCTCTCCACCTCTTGTCATCAACATTGGTTCATTTCCATTCACAAAATGAACATTTCTTCTCTCCATCAGCTTTCTTCTTGTCTGCTTCAATTGTTAGGACACGTAATACACATATGCATTCACTACATATAGAGAAATGTATGCTTATCACCAGTGTTTATCCACAGCACTATCACTGTGGCCCACTGGTTGAGGCAATTCCCTTTGTTAATGAAGAAGCATCTTCCTGAAACTGACACTGAGCAACTCACAACTGTTTGGGTTCAGTGCTAGGTTTGGTTCACAGCTGCCACTTCTAGGTAACTCACTTGTAAACTACCAGAGCTAAAATCCTCCTTTTCATAAAGCAGCAGGAGGAGATACTGTTTCCTAACCTTACCCTTTAACTATGATCTCCTTGTCATGAATGAAGAATGGGCTTAAATTATTCACACCATCTTCTTATCCAGCTGGCAGTAGGGAAATAAAGGCACTTTTTTTTTTTTTTTCCCCGCTTAAGGAAATTTCACATGAGAGGAGCACTATGGTGTGTTTACTCACTTCACACAAGCTGCAGTGAGCACAGCAAATCTGCACTTCCTCCTTCCCGCAGCACAGGCCTCCCGGAGGTGCCGGTCTGCCTGGCGGATCCAGCCTCTGGGCTGGCACCGTGGCCTGCAGACGCGTCCTGTGGGCTGCCGTGCGGTGACGGCACCCACCGAGGAGCGCCCGCTCCGTGGCCACGCGGGCCTCGAGAGTCTTGCCTGCAGTGAGGAGTCACCTGCGAGAGCGGGAAGCCTTCCCTTCCAATGCTCTAGGTACTCACCTAGGCACGGGATCTTGCCTGCAGTGAGGAGTCACCTGCGAGAGCGGGAAGCCTTCCCTTCCAATGCCGTACTCACCTAGGCACGGGGCACATCCCATCCACCGTTTCCTACCGTCACTGTGCGGAGCGCAGCGGTGACAGCCCTGCTGTGCCCCCGAAGGGACAGAGGTCCTCGCGGAGCCGCGCGGTCACCGCCTGCCCCGCCCCGGCCTCTCCTTCCTCAGCCTCCCGCCCCACCCGCGGCCGGGCAGCGGCCTGCGCCCATCAGGCCCCGGCAGCCCGCCCGGGTGCGGACAGCGCGGCCGAGCCCCGGCTGCTGAGGCCGAGGTGGCACCGCAACGAGGACCCAGCTGCCCGCCGGCAGCGGCCCTGCGGCGGGGAGCGCCCAGGGTCAGTGCCGACCCCCGCACGGGCGCTGTCCCTCGGAAGGCGGTCGGGAACGGCGACTCCGGTGCCCATCCCGCAGCTCGGCCCTGGGGCTGCGCGGGGGCTGCGCGGCTGTACCGGCGCTCGCCGGCTCAGCCAACCCCGCACTGCACAGCGCCGCGTCCAGGTGCGCCCGCCCCCGGCGCCCGGATTGACCGCGCTGAGAGCCAATCGCCCGTGAGGAATCTCGGCAACTGCCCAATCACCGCTCCGGAAATGGGATGTGGGCGGTGCCCCGGGGACAGCGGGCTCGGTGGCGCCGCGGCCGAGGAAGGGCGAGCGCGGGGGCGGCGGCGCGGGCGAGCGCGGCCGGGCTCCGGCCGGCACTGCCGCAGGGATGGCGGTGGCCGCGGCGAGGGGCTCAACCCCCATGGGGAGCGCTGCGAGCCGCCCCGTGACCCGCTGAGCGCCCTCCGCCTGCGCGCTGCCGTTACCCCTCCCCGCGGGCCGGCCCGGCTCTGCAGTCGCCATAGAGACCGCGCCGCACGCCATGGGGCGGAGGCTGGGCCGGGGGGCGCCGCTGTAGCCCCCGCCCCGCGCCGCGCACACCATCCCCTGTGGGGCCGGGGGCGCCGCCAGGATTCGCCGCGCCGCCCCGAGGAGCCGCCGCCTCGGCCCCGTTCCAGGTGAGGATTCGCGGTGCTGCGCCGCGGCCGCCGCCGTTACCCCGCGCCCCGTCCCCGCGGGCGCTCTGGCCGCCTCGGCGGGGCGCGGCCCGCGGGCTCCGGCGGCCGCCGGCCCGGCCCCAGCGGCTGCTGCGTGGGAGCCGCGTCGCGGTTTCTGTCCCCGCGGGAGAGGGAGTTTGCCGGGCGCGGGAGCTCCGGGGGCCACGGCCCGCCCCGGGAAGGGCTTATTCCAGTGGGGAATTCCAGGACGGGGCGATCCCCTCCGTGGAGTTAAGGTCGGCAGGTCTGGCGGGCTCCAGCAGCAGTCACCCCTGCCCCGGCCTCTACGGAGAACTCAGATTTATAGGCACGAGATTTTTTTTTTTTTTTTTTTTTTTTTTTTTTTTTTTTTTTTTTTTTTTTTTTGTCCCTCCCACTTGCTGCAAGAAGGCAAATGGTACAGAAATTTACGTGTTCTGACGGCGAAGGATCTCTGTTTTAAAATAGCTGCGTCTGTATTTCCAGCTCTGGTTTGTGGCATGCGTGTGACGGCTGCCGTGTGGGCACGGCTGGATGGGAAGCGGGCTGTCTGTCGCCTGGCGCTCTGAGTGCTGGAGCCATTAGCGGCACTTGCATCGATCCGTGCATACAGATATGCCTGGCTAGGCCGCGGGTGCGCGCACCACGGCGCCCAGGGGAACACAAACTGCGTGTGGAACGGCGTTAAAAAGACGTTATTGCCCGTACTTTTAGCTTTACAAAGAGGAAGTGGGGAAGCACCTGGTTCCCAGGTCTACAGATGATCCCTGGAGCTGCAGCGGCATCCTTAGGCTTCTGTTGTCACTCTAGAGCAAAAGCAATGAGAGGACAAAGCTTGCTACGAGGTTTGTAACCTCTGCTGTGAGCCAGGGCAGTTGGAAACAACTGCTAGTGTAAGTGGGAGTGGGAGTGCAAATAATGATAATATTGATGGGTTATCGTGGAGGCGGAGGGAGATGGACACAAAGGAATGACCCTGGAGTATACCACGGCATTTTGAGAACCTTCTACTGTATTTATAGTTAAGCTGGAAAGGGCTATAGAAAATGAGTTATAAAATAGCCTGTAGTGGCTTTCTTAGTTAGACTCTATGTGCAGAACCTGTGTAATTTCAGCTTAAATGTTCTGAATTAGTAAGCTATATTGCAGGAATGTTGAGAGCGTTAAAATAAATCATACTCTACTTATTTAAGCATCTTGTTAGCCTTAAAGTGAGTGGTTAATTTCTGTGTTGTGGTTCTGGAAAAAAATGAGTAGATTTTTAAAATACATTCTGTGTAGTTAATGCCATGCCTCTGTTGAACACATGCTAGCTATGCTTGTAGGTATGTTAGTTCATTTCAGCTGAGAAAACAAAAGGTTAGGACTTACTTTACTGCTCTTTTGGTAACGTTTTTTGAAGCCTTTATTGTATGAATTCATGACGCAAAGATGCCCAGCATTTTTATTTTGTGTTAATATTGTCCTGAATACTTTCTTGATGATGATTCATTTGCTTTACAGAGTGAATTATCTTAAAAAAAACTTTCTTAACTTGTTAAACCAGAGGTACACTTGTTAACATTTGTTTGGCCTGTCAATGAAATTATATGTAAGAAAGTTTGACTGCAATAGTATGAGTAGTCATTTGTCAAAAGTTATTTTGAAAACAGTGCATCAAGATACAGTTTAAAAAACGTGAAGGTGGAACCAGTTATCCCTAAAAAATACTTTGTTCTTCTCTAAAATATATTCCTGATGTATTATTATTTACTTGAAGCTCAGCATCTTTTTAAACTTCCTGTTTGGGAAGGATGAGGTTAGAATGAGAAGAACAAATTGAGTGACTGTCTCTTATGTTCAGTGTGGTCACCGTGCTGCTGCTGCATACTGCAGGCTCTGACACTTCTAACATCACAAATTCCAGAGAGGCTTTTCTCAATCTGGCTGATTATATCAAGAAGATTTTTGAGTATGACAGATGAGAGATATGAGTGGGGCTTTCCTTGTTCAAAACTGGCTTCTAAACAATCAGTTTCTACCAGTGCTAGATATTTGTGTACAGAAGGTTAAGCATTTGTTTAGTGTGTGAAGTTGCAGTGTATGGTATATTAATATACTACTGTGCTTTCTGCTTTAGTAAGGGCTTGTTTATCTAGTGGGAATGAATTGGTACTTTACAAGGGAAATTGACAGTTTCTGTGTATTCCTGTGTCTTGCCTTGTCTGTTTCTTTTTCTCTGGGGAAGCACTACACAAAGCCTTTGTGTTAGGCTGGAGGGGAGGAGAAACAGCTGCCTTTTCAGTACTAGACCCCAGGATTTGTCGTGGTCTCCCAGGGATGCACTGTGGTACATGGACCAGCCACTGTCCCTCCTCCCTCATTCTGCAAAAACACTCACACCTCAAGAAACCTCAGCTTCCTTTGACTGATCTCTCAGAGCAGCGAGTTGTGCCCTGGATCTAGCAGATCAGTCTGAAGGGCAAATTGTTAAAGCATTGCTGGGCAAGAATTAAAACATGCAAAATTGTCAAAATACAAGGTTTGTCTTAAGGAATTCAAGAGCTACAGGTCACGTGTGTTTAAAATTTTCTTGTTATTAACTTGACTTCTAGTTCAGGATTAGGGTGAAAGAAACTTTCTTAAATCTTTTACTTGGCTTTTTTTTTTTTCTGTTTAAGAGTATAGTATCTAGTGTACTTAAGTGGGAATTAAACATATTAATTTTTAGAAGTGGAGATACAAGCTGTTCCAGTTGGATAAGAGAGTACAGCTAAATGGAGCAGTTTCATTTTTCTGCTCTCCACGCACAAGTAGAGTGCTCTAATGCTTGTACTATGTACTCTGTCATGCAGTGGCAGAATAAAAGAGGGAAGTTGGCTCCCTCTTTTCATTAGAAATATTGGGTACTATCTAATGTACTATCTATTTTAGTAACTATATCTTGTATGCTCTTTCATAATAACTTCTTTGAAACTATCATGCAATCTTTACTTATCCTTTACAAATTTATTTATTTATTTAAATTTTAGAGTCAGAATACTCCCCTCTCCTTGCTTCAGTGCTAGGTGTTTAGTAGTGTGCTTTTGAGGGAATCTAGTAACTTGGATTTTTTTTAAAGCTGCTCATGAAATTGAGATGCCATTTTTAGCCATTTAAATTTATAGTCTTTCATTCTCTGTATGAGCTTATAGGTCACTGGTCTTGAAACTTAAGTAGTGGAAAATTCAAGCAATAAAATCTGGCCTTCTGACACTTCACCTCTTGATCTAGTTGAGAATTCTTTTTCCCATTTTTGAGACGTTGTACAAGTCATAACTTTTGAACAGTTATTTTTCAAAATTATTTTTCAGTTAATGGGGATGAATTCTGGGAAACGTGAGAAGGTTTTTGGGGAGAAGGGAAAGATTTAATTTGAGAGGAGTGAGGAAAGGAGGGCAAATTGAGAAACCGAAGAAGTTTTTAGTGTTTTTAACAAAACCATTTTGTTAAAAAATTAAAAATATTTTTATTGTTATGTTCAGGCATGTTTTTCTGTGGTTCTTATCCTGTGTGTTTGAGAACTTTCCATCACAGAATTGCATCACTCAAATGTTATTTCATGTTGTTGCTTTTTGTCTGAAGAGATTAATCAATTATTGAGAATTGCACTGATGAGGAACTCTGTCTGCTAATTTTTCCTTTTGGAGAAATGTGTCTAGGTAGCTTAGCCTCACATTTCAGTGCAAGTAGTAGTTGGAAGAGCTGAAGGCCTCTTTCATGGATGAAGTTTACCAGATCACCGATGGTACTGATAAGGAAAGTAATTTTCCTTCAAGTACAAAGCTGTCTGATATATAAAGGAAGAGTAAAATATGCTGAAGTTGCTTTGAGAGCTTGTAGAGGATGTCATATCTCTTTAATATGTGGCCATCTTTTTCCATCTGGATGTTGCAAAGGGATTTGTTACTTGTTGCAAAGACAGGTTACTAATGTGAAGCTCACATGCAGAATAATGTAAAGAATCATGTCACCCTGATCTGTTTATACAGAAATAATTTTATTGTGTTTTTGATATACTTCTCTCACAACTGAAGTTACCCAAAATTTGTTCCGCTAGACTCATCTGCAGTTAGGAGAGATCTTGCCTTTCAGAGCTTGTGTCTTTTTAGTAGTTGGGAATTGTCTTCGGTCAACAGCTGCTTATTGATTCTGAGAGGGGGTTCCTTCTGCTCTGTCACTTCCCAGATCATTCTTAGATAGTATTTGTCGCTTCTGTCATGCTCTGTCTCAGAGTACTAACATTTTGTGAGGGTTTTAACAACACTTATTTGATACAATGTTGTTCAACATAGTAAGAATTAGATTGCTTGGTTACGTGGTGTATCAGCGGGATGTGTCTTGTAGCTGTCAAATTTACTTGTTGCCATAGTAATGCTTCAAATGCCACTCGTGGCAAGCAGTGTGACTTTGAGCATATGAAGTATGACTCTAGCTTTGCAGTGTTGAAGAATTTTTAAAAAAGGGACGCAGTGATCTGTAAATAGAATATACTTTTCTGCATCAAACTGGTGACTTTTAGAATGTATTTGTATTCTTGAGTAATATGCTGCCTTGAAATAATTATTTTCTTGTCTTTCATTTATCAGTGTCTTGAGCTTAATAGATCTAGAATGGGCATTATCAACTGATAGAAAATGTATCAGACAAAGAATGACTGTGCTATTCCTTGAGTTTGATTGAATTGAATGCCCTGTTCATATGTGATGCTTTGATTTTTCCATCTGCAGTAGTCTATAAATAAAATCAAAGTATAATTCCCTGAGTGGAGTCAGCCTAGAACAAACTGTCATGTTGCACTCTGAGAGTTAAAGAAGAAGAATTGACATTGGATCACTGTTCTTTTTCTGTGTGACATTTTGTGCTTTTTCATGAAGATCTAGAGATTATTGTGGTATTCATGATGGTTTTGGGTGAAATTACAGTTCTACGGTTTTGAGCAAGACAGTGTATCCAGTGAGGAA